AAAGAGGCAGATTTGATGAAGCATTCGAAGAAAAATTCGCTCTCACTTTGCACGTCAATACAGCTTCCGTTCGAGATGGAAACACAATTTTGGTCCCGGGCGGATCGACAAGTAACCAAATGATTGAGCCGATCAGTTGCACAGATACAATGCAAGCGCATATGCCGACCTGGAATTGTGGAATGGGCAGAAGTCATTGGAATACAAATAATTTTTGAATTTCGGAAAGTTTATCGAAATATATATGTCAAAGTTCTCGCCGCTGATGAGGGTTCTTATGTTTACGCGTGGCCAACTACATGTGAAATAACAGATAGTTAAGAACAATTACTGCGCTCATCTCAGGATACCAGGCATATCCATGTGCAAGAAGAACGGGTGTGTGGATGTAGAAGTGTGACATTATTCGTCACAGGACACACGGAAGGGATACCGCAGGACAATGACAGCTAGAGATGTTTGTGTCTCCGCACACATACAAAGGCGACAACTTACACGACCTGCCACACGCCCAACCATAGCCAAAGCCTCCTTATTCCGCCGGTCTCCTTTAAAGGCAACTTCAAGCTGATCGCGTAAACGAATCACGGCCTGCAGAAGATCCCTTCTCATTGGGAGGCTTGTGAGGGGAGGTAGGTGCTGCCTACCCACACGACAAGCGTAGAGTGCGTCCTCAGAGCAGACGGATCAGCCTCAGAATATCGCTTGAAGGACCCATAGATTGAAGACAGTATCTTGAGGGATAGTTCTCAGCAAATGATAGCGAGAGGGAGCTGCATCCCACTCTCTCATAAATTAGAATGCGAATGAGGTGACAACTTGAGGGCTTTCTACGATAATCGGACGGAGATCGGTGACTCAAAATAATTGGGCCTTGGTTATAAGTGTCCTCGTCCTGTGACATGGCGAAGAGGAAAGGCTAGCCAAGAAAGGAGGGTTAGTGGCTGTTAATCACCGCCTATCCGTTCTCCGCGAAGTGAGCTTTTAAGCGTTCCAATCACCTGCTGATTGAGTTTTACATACCTTTCGAAAGTGCTAGTTCAGTAATCTAATCCCTCTCCATTACCTTCAGTAGAACTCGATCATAACAAAGAAAGCTGGGCTCTGAACCGAGAACGAACCAAACCCTTTTGTTTCAGAACCTCCTCTCTCTCTCGCTTTCTCTTTCTCTCCCTCTCTCTCTCTCTCCTTGCCCTTCATACCAATGAAAACTTTCGGATCGTCATTCTGTGTCCTGAAACTGAGATCACTTGTACTATGTCTCACATTTTAGGAAAATAAGATGTATATACTTACATAACTAAAATCAACAAATAACTGACTTGTGCTCTGGGGGTGATGAATCGCGGCCGTTGAGCGCTGTCTGGCTTGAAGACCCGTGCCAGTCGATTCGTCTTCGTGATGATAGCCGCGTAGATAGCTGACACTTGACAGGGACCCATCAACCACCTGAAATCAGTACGTACTAGGAGACGTTCAAGCGATTCAGGGCGAATGTGCTGTACTTTTAAAGGATTACTTATCAAGTTCTTCTATTCTTACTAAGTTCGGTCACTTTCGTCTGTCTCGTGCGGTGAAAATCTAGGATTAAATCCTCGGGTTGGACAGGCATGAAAACAGCAAGCCTAAGTAAAACAAACTGCACATTACTCGATCTTCAGGCTCGAATGAAAAAGATCAGGGGGTGCGGTTGAGTGCGAAAACTTCATAATGTTGCAATGAGCCTTACATGGACACTGTTCTGACATGCCCGTCAACGTGTGACTGTGGATTACGCAGGGTGCCTCGTCAAGTAACAATTAAACGCGTAAGTGCCATCAGAGCAGAAGCTTGTGAGGGGCACATTTTCTAATTCACATGATGATGTAGACGCCACACTGGCCCTAAACCCCCTACCGCATGCTTTAGTCTAACGGCTTAGTTGATGGTGTACAGATGTTTTTCTAGTAGCGGCTTCTTCTTTCTAAGAAAGCGGTTTGAAGATTAAGAGGATGAATGCGAAAAGTGTAGATATGCGTCTAAGATACCAACAAAATTCGCTACTAGAAGCTGACACCTGTTCGCTGCTATGCTCTCTACAAACACGGATTTGAACAGCGTTAAATTCTATGGGCCATTGAACGGTTCTTCGTTCGCGGTCGAACCTATCTCCTCATTAATCAGGGTTCTTTGTGCCCCACATAACCCAGCGTTCTGATCACGGGAACGTCGCCTTTCAGAGGACTTGATGGCAATCATGGGTTGCCGCAATGTGAAGCAGGATTTTTGCCTCAGCACGAAGGTAGAGGCGAAAAAGGATTCCCATCATAATAATCCCACTTTCCCACAAGGAGATCGTCAGATGCTTCGTTTAGCGGATAAGAGATGAGATAGCGGGTTTAGCGCGCTCGCCGTGATAGGAGAACCTTTTGGTCGCGGACAGGGTGCTTTCAAATTTTGAAATCGGCATGAAGCCATTTCAGGGGCCTTCGAGCCGCCAGCATCACCCTTAATGGTCATCACGCCCGTGGTCAGCGGTTTTCTAGAGGCATGTAAGTCCCATACCGAAACATCGGTTTTGTAGTCGTTGTGTGACAGGTAGAAAACTCCCCTCTTTCCCCAATTTTTTGAAATGGAGCGCTGAGCTAACAGGAGAGCGGAAGCTCAAGTAATTCTGCTCCCTGAAGCGTGTGAAATGGTGAAAAACAGGAAACTACTAGTTTTTATAAAACTTCCACTTCCCTCCAAGGCAGTTGCTTCCCAGCAACCTGAATACGCCCTCCCTCCTCGCCAGCGATTGACACGACCCTCTTCGCGCTGGGAAGAACTCTACGCGCTCGAAATGCGCATTCAAGTGTCTTCGACTTAGGCGTCGCTTGCGTGGCACATCCCGAAGGATGGCATTATTTCTATCAGCTTTATCCTAATTACCGACAAGAAATAAATACAAATAAGTAGAAGAATAAGAAAGCAAACATTCTCACCCTTGTAATAGCACATGTTGGAATTGTAGGCTGTGAAACGAGGAAGAATGTGAGGATATAGCACATGGATATACCACTGATCATACAGTAACACAGTTCACGTCCAGATGCCATGATCTGTAAAACACCACCTGACTGCCGTGATTTTAGCCCCGCCCACTTTGTTGGCCTAGACTAAAAGAAACCCAAAAATGAAATCCCCGAGTAAATTCCGGCAATATCTTTCAGAAAATCACTAATACACACTTACCACTGGAGTATTGGAGAACTTCAAGAAGACGCCAACGACGAACACAGTCGATGCCAATCCGAGCATTGAGAAACCAGCCGGAACTAATGCCCATGTAGAATCCCATCTATAATAATTGCTATCTGGATATCTGCCACTTCAAGGCTTTCAAATTCACTTACTGCATTGATACTGGTGGTATCGGAACGCAGTAACTTTGTGTTGGATCTGGAACTTCGCCTTCGGGGCACAGTTCACAACTAAAAAATTGGCTTTCACTGAGAAAATAGTGTTGAATATATTTTCTTCACGATAATCAGAAAGAAAAAGGCTCACAATCACTGTGGTTCCCACATCTCCCTCTTCTCAAGAAGAAAGGCGCACCACCAATGTGGAAGTTAAGATGGTTACAAGTTTGCGTACATTTCATCTCTAGCGTGTCTTCGAATTTGGAATCTCTCTTACAAGGTAGGTCTTTCAGGTCGTGGCGCGCTTTTCAGAAATGGTTTGTTGCATGTTGTAGGGGTCCATATAAGGATCAAAATGGGTTTCGTTTTTGCTATGCATTTCTGGGAAGGTCAAAAAATGAGTGAAAAGTTTGCTGAGGAAAAGCGATTTTGAACCATTTTTCTAGGCTCTTTTCTATTTCTAATGTCGAGTATGCAAATGAGACCTTCGTCCGTC